AGAAACTAGGCTTTGATATAGGCTAGTGGACACACTTGCCTTGGGAGGATGAGTGAGTGAGTGAGTTAAGATTTAAGATTTGGCCGAATTTCAGCCATATCGTGACGACTTGGGAGGATGAACTATTAACAGTGTAACATGAGTTTGGGTGAAAGTCTTGATAAGCAGCACATTAAACACCAACCTTTTCAAGAAAAACTAGGAAAAGACAGGAATTGGAAGAGAAATTCAATATATACTACGCAAATGAAGTGTTTTATGTACATGTACCACTCAAAGTAAGTTAAAGAAGACAAGATTCTTTCATATTACTCTAGTCAATCTACCCACTGCCAAAATTTATTTTGGTTTACAGATAAGCACTAATATCTGCTGTGGGATTCTTCATGAGAGGTCTCGTGAATCATTGTCATAAGATTTGTATATTTAAACATTATCTGAAATTACTCGATAATTGTACCACTGATAGTAGAGATATGTTCCCCTAATGGAACTTGTCCTGTACAAGTGGGCTCTTGAATTCAAGTAGGACTCTCTGCTATCTGGAGGCAGGAGACCTGTCTCCATGTCATGTCAACTGAGAACAAAGTCCAAATAAAACTACAGTGTCACACTAGGAAACACAATATTTGGTTGTGTTCCCTCAGCTTGCTTTATCCAATACTTTAACTACTTATCACATTCACTGCTGGCCCTGTGGTCCATGGCTAGCAGAAACGGCAAAGGACCTGCTGTAATTTTAAGTTGGTGTGGCCTAGTTATCCAAAGTGAGTGAGTGAGTGAGTGAGTGAGTGAGTGAGTGAGTGAGTGAGTGAGTGAGTGAGTGAGGGGTTAAAAGCCGTTTTAACAGAATTCCAATTACATCAAGACATGTCAGCTCAATGGGAGGAAAGCCTGAAGTGATGGTCTCAGACATTTATCATTTACAAGCACTAGTATGGTGCTAACAAACCTAGAAACATAAGTGGGGCTAACCTGGGACTCAAACCCACAATCGTAGGTTTCTAGTGTGCCCAAGGGATGCAACTCTGGACAGCAAATTGCGACTGGGCAACCCGTACCCCTCACAGGAACTCGCAAGAAAGATATTAGAGAGTCATTTTTATCAAAACTAGGTGTACCATGGTTATTTTCCATGTGTTCAGCATCCCCTGCAAGCATGGGTACAGCTGTTAGTAAAAGTAGGAGTACACTTTGTGATTTGGCGATTCACATTCAGTAGTTTTGTTGAAAAAATATCACCCAAAAGTTAGACATAGTGAGTGATTGAGTGAGTGAGTTGGGTTTAACGCCGCTTTTAACAGTATTCCAGTTATATCATGGCGTGTCAGCTTAATGTGGGAGGAAAGCCCGAAGTGATGCAGGTCTCTGACGTTTACCACTTCGGTGAATCCCACGAGCACGGGTATGGTGCTGACAAACCTAGAAACATAATCGGGGTGAACTGGGATTCGAACCCACAATCATAGGTTTCTGGCGTGCCCAAGGGACGCAACTCATCACAGCGAATCGCGGTGCCTTAGACGACTGGGCCACCGTGCCCCCTGTTAGACATAGTGTCATTATACATTACTTATAGTATACACTATCACCTATAAACTTACTGAATGTATAATGTTTATTTTGTTTGTTTGTTTGTTTGTTTAACGCCACAGCAATATTCCAGCTGTATGACGGCAGTCTGTAAATATATTCAATTCTGGACAAGTCAATCCAGTGATTGACATCATGAGCATCAATCCACAAAATTGGGATACAATGACTTGTTAGTGGCCTCCTACAACAAGCATAGTCACCTTTTACGGAATGCATGGGTTTCTGAAGACCTTCACGGGTCATCAAATAACAAAATGGGTTTTGGGGGAGCACCCATCACTTCTGAATCCATGTACGACACGTGACCTACAACACAAACTGACCTGTCACGAACGATGTCGGACATTGTTCACGTTGGCCGGGGACAAAGGTTGGGGCATGCTGACCAACGTGGTCCTGTGAGACAGTGATGGATGATGGGCACAGCCCTAGCTATCTCACAAGTACAACACTGTCACAGTGGCAGTTATCACATCATAATGCTAGCTGTTGTACATCAACAATACGTTTCCATACAATACATTATTTAGTTGCTTAATGGATCTGCCTGATTTATATATACTACCGGTACTCAAAAGAAGTTAAGGATCACTTGATTCTTTTGTATCACTATAGTTGATCTGTCTTGTTATGACAAATTAACTCTAGTCAAATGAAAGAAATTTCTTAGGAGTAGTATATCCAGTTCTGTGATTCACAGACATCATGTTGATTCCAAACCACTAGTTTAAAGATCACATACCTTGAAAAACTAAAAGTCTAAATATTCTGAAATACACTATTATTGTTTTTCAGCTAAATGCCAAGAATGAGTTGACCAACACAACTGTACATACAGTACATTAAACAGCAGGACCTACAGACTGATTTAACACTGCTCACTTGGTCATATATTGTCTGTCTGTCTGTTGTTTAATGCTGCACTCAGCAATATCCAAGCTATTTGACAATGGCTTGTAAATAATCAAGTCTGGACCAAATTGATATTGTGAGCAAATTCACCATCTGGTTATGATGACAAGCCATCAACCGAGTCACCGCCGAGCCTGACCATCCAATACATTCAACCATCAAGTGGCCTGTTAAGGCCAGCATAGGTTGCTGGGGACCTCTTCTAACCAAGTCATCAAGTCTGACCAGCCGATACATTCAACCATCAAGTGGCCTGTTAAGGCCAGCATAGGTTGCTGGGGACCTCTTCTAACCAAGTCACCGAGCCTGACCAGCCGATACATTCAACCATCAAGTGGCCTGTTAAGGCCAGCATAGGTTGCTGGGGACCTCTTCTAACCAAGTCACCGAGCCTGACCATCCAATACATTCAACCATCAAGTCGCCTGTTAAGGCCAGCATAGGTTGCTGGGGACCTCTTCTAACCAAGTCACCGAGCCTGACCATCCGATACATTCAACCATCAAGTCGCCTGTTTAGGCCAGCATAAGTTGCTGGGGACCTATTCTAACCCAGTCACCGAGCCTGACCATCCGATACATTCAACCATCAAGTGGCCTGTTTAGGCCAGCATAAGTTGCTGGGGACCTATTCTAACCCAGACACTTCTTTTCAATGTACAACTTGGACTTCCTCAGAGCTTTCTTGACCCGTGAAGATTCCGGGGTAGAATAGGTCTTCAGCAACCTATGCTTGCCGTGAAAGGTGACTATGCTTGTCGTAAAAGGCGACTAACGGGATCGGGTGGTCAGGCTGGCTGACTTGGTTGATGCATGTCATCGATCCAAATTGCATGGATCGAGGCTCATGATGTCAATCACTGGACTGTCTGGTCCAGACTCGATTATTTACAGACCGCCATCATATAGCTGGAATATTGCTGAGTGCGGCGTTAAACAACAAACCAACCAACCAATTACAGCTTTCTTAAAGGCAAGGTAGTTGTAAAACAAGGCATATGACCTTGAAAAATTGAAGTAAGGATAAACATGAAAGCGTTACAAGTTTGTATCCTGATACAGGGATCTAACAAAAAACTAGTGTACAATGCCTAACAGATCATGGCAGTAAAATGGGTCATACAAGTAAAATGGGTCATAGAAGTAAAATGGGATCAGCACATTCTTCCTGGTAACACATATCTATTCTGTTACTGTTTCCTTATAAGGCCAACCCACAATCATGGCTAGTTTTACATGTGTTCTCAATGCTTGGTTTCACACAGCACATTTTGCCCTACAAATGTCATAAGGCCAAAATACATTAATAATTAGATTTACCTAAAAAAATATAAAAATGTTATAATGGGGGTATTTTATGTTTTAAAAACAAACTGTTCAGTCATCGGAGTACAGGGATGTCAGGTTTCCCATTGTTAATTACAAATGCCACATTAAATTATTGTTAAATTTTCATCTAAATTGATCAAAACAAGATATTGGGGGGGGGGGGGTGGGCATTATTGATACAAACAGATCAAGGCTGCTGGATGTTAACTGTTGACATATTTTCATGATGCATGTGTTATGTGTTTTGGTAGGAGTAGGTACATGTGTATTTTATCCATGAAAGTGTGTGAGTGAGTGATTATGATTTTCCGCCGCTTTTAGCAAGGCGGGGGACACCAGAAATGGGCTTCACACATTGTACCCATGTGGGGAGTTGAACCCTGGTATTCGGTGTGACAAGGGAACGTTTTAACCGCTGGGCTACCCCACCGCCCTCTTATCCACGTAAGAGAGAAGGCAACATACAATTGTTTCTACATCTGTAGGTACTTGGGAACAATAAATGATGTGATGTGGTGATGCTTGGTAGTGTTTGTTTGTTTGTTGTTTAACGCCGCACTAGGTAACAACACGAACATCATACTACTCATTTTTTTAGGGATTTGAAAATAGTACATGCTATTAAAAAAGCAGGATAACAACTCCATATGATAATGTCAAATAACTTAAAGCTATAAAATTCTATGTTCCCTATCAGTATCGAATTCTCTTAGAACAAGGGCTTCCGTAATCAGATACGTTATGAAATACGAGGAGTATCCTTATCACGAGTTGTAGTATATGTGGTGGATATTTTATTGCATGCTCCTGGCTATCATAGATCTTAGTGTCTTAAAGGGGGACTGGGTCTAGATAATGGGCAGTGCCAGCAAATTTAAATTACAACCCTGAAATGAACATTTCTGGGGCTGCTAGGTTACATATTATGACACGCAGTTCATGATAACCCTAATTACACAGAAACAATGTCTAGGTGTCATACATGGTATCAATTTTAATGTCTAGAGGGTGAGTTGGGTTTACACTACTTTTAACAGTATTCCAGTTATATCGCGGCGTGTCAGCTTGATGTAGGAGGAAAGCCTGAAGTGATGCAGGTCTTAGACGTTTGCAGCTTCGGTGAAACCCACGAGCATGGGTATGGTGCTGACAAACCTAGAAACATAATCGGGGTTAACCAGAATTTGAACCCACAATCATGGGTTTCTGGCGTGCCCAAGGAACGCAACTCTGCACAGCGAATTGTGGCACCTTTGACGACTGGGCCACCCGTGCCTCCTGGCAATGTCTAGACCTTGGCAAAATTGCATTAGACCTTGTAGCATAGTGTCCCTTTAAACACACTGAACAATGTGAATGTTAACTATTGTATTAATTTCACCATCCCAGCCATGCAAACCCTAAAATTAAACAGACCCGGGGGACAGTAAGGAATGCTCAAGGGCTTCCATAGTAATGTCAGAAACAGAAGAACAAATATAAAAGGGCGGCATATCCTCATTGTCTTGATGATGTACTGTTACAGGGAGCCGTCTGAAGCGGTCTTAGGCAGTCCTAAGCAGTACATCCAGACAAGACTGCTTGGCAATGGTACACGTTTTATTAGCTTTGCTCCAAGTCTGTACTGAATGATAAGTCCATGGATGTAGAGTAAATTCATCCTAATAATAGGCAAGTCTAGGTAAGTGGCTGCCAGTCTTTAATAAGGACAACTTATTATTATTCATATAATTTAGGAATTATGATTTAAATTAATAATCAATGCCTTACAGACTTGTGCAAGTCTAAGTTTCATGTACAGGAAAAGAAATGTATTTGTCTCAATGTGACCCAGAGAGTGACCCACTCATAAGTTTAAGGGGCCCTTTTGGAATTTAATTGCAGCGCCATAAGACTACCTCTGACCCCCTTCAAACTTGGTGAATGTTGCTTGACCTAGATTATATAACAAGCAGGTGTAATTTGTAAAGTTTGCACCTTCATTCTCATTGAGATTGATAATTTACTCTTCCAATTTCTGAATCTCCAGGTATAATTTTTGAATCATACTGTACAAAAGGCATATATATAATCACTTTCCATGTATTTTTATACTTTACTTTTTTTTTTTTTGTTTAATGCCGCACTCAGCAATATTCCGGCTATATGACGGTGGTCTGTAAATAATCGAGTCTGGACCAGACAATCTAGTGATTGATGTCATAAGCATCGATCTACGTATTTGGGATCGATGACATGCATCAACCAGGAGCCAGGTCCTACTCAGTACCCACCCGACCCGAGTACCCGAGTTACCTGTCCCAGCCCTAATACTTATGTAACAATGGTAACAGACTTCATGATCTAATGAATTAGATGAACATGACAAAGATTTACAGAAGATGAAAAACTATTCACCATGCATTCTCTGTGATATTGTATTCATAACAGACAATTATACTCACAGATATGCTGTTTTGTAAACCAAATCCATGTCATCCTTTCTACAGGCAAACCTCATTAGGCTGGATCCTGTTAATCCAGAAGTCTCACCTTCCCGATGACAACTGCTGTGAATGCTTCCAGGTTTACAAAGGGATTTTACTCCATGAGGCCAGACCTTTTTAAGACATGGATTACGAATGTGCAGAGTAAAAAAAATTTAAATGTGAAAAAGACCCATTAAAAATAAAAAGCAGTGGTTTTTTTATTCCACTGACCAGAAATAAGTAATTTACTGTCATTAATTGTTGCTATCAATATGAATCAATTATTTAAAATCCTATAATTACAACATTTTGAAAATTTATGGAAAAAACTTTAAAAGGCAACAAATTGTTACTAATCCTGACAGATCTCGTTTATAATGGAAGGCAGGTAACTCTAAAATTGTTTCTTTCTCTATTCCTCCCATCCCCATTTTTCTTTTCTTACCTACTTAACATTTTGAAGAAATTAAAAAATATACTTGAAATTAGCATACTTATCTTTTCAGTTTTTTTACCTACCGACCTGGGTGCTATTGTACAAAGTGATCTTAGTGCTAAGATGATCGTAACTCCCATACCTTAACATGCTTAACACAGACTTACCACAGACATAGCACTAAGGTTGTTTTGTACATCACACTGAATTTTTAAGCCAAAGATCCATAAATAACCACTCCCCAAAAGTCTGGCCTAACAATGGTAAGCATGAATCATGATTTGGAAATTTCCTGAAACGGAAGATACGATACAACTCACATAATCATGGTAATAGCACTAGTGGAGAAATTCATTGAAGGAATCAACCTTAATCAATAATATTGGGAGCTAAATATGAGTGAATAATCCCCATGTTTAAAACATAAAGTTATCAAAGATATGATATGTAGTCAAGAGCCAATTAAACAGGCCAAAACAATCACAAAAAATTCTACATCAGTTAATCAAAACATGGTATATATTGCCTTGAGTGAGTTGGATTTTAACGCCGCTTTGAACAGTATTCCAGTTATATCACAGCAAGTCTGCTTAATGTGGGAGGAAAGCCTCGGACCTCAGACCTTTACCACTTTGGTGAAAACTACGAGCATGGGTATGGTGCTGGCAAACCTAGAAACAGAATCAGGGCGAACCTGGATTCGAACCCAAGATCATAGGGTTCTTGCATTCCCTAGGGATGCACAGCGAATTGCAGGTCCTTAGACAACTGGGCCACCCGTGCCCCCTTCCATGACAAAGAAATAGAGCTTCATTGTGTCACAGTTAAAGCACTCAGTTCCTCTGTTTGGTGTGATGTGTACTGTACTGTGGCTTGAGTGCCACACCTCAGTCTTTGGATGTGCTCATGGAACAGGTAACCATGGTAACATACTATATGGAAATGTTCTGATGGATGCTGACAGGAGAATAGACTAAAAGACAGTAAAGCAATCAAATACATCAATGCATCTTTCACATAAGGGGTTCGGACAGACAGTATCTGTGATTGTGGTAGTGCACGTGTACATCTACACATCAGTCTAATAAAAGCGGGGTTTGAGCTGACTGAGATTTGATTTCAATATTGCCATACAGCAGGATATATGTATAACTTCCTCAAATGACAACATTCAAATTTCCTGTTTAAATAGCATTAATCATGTTCTGTACAATTGCAGGAAATAAGATCTATAACAAATGTAAAGAAATTTCTGAAATTGAGACATACAACTTACATGGTTGATGCCGAGACACACATCTAGCAGGGTGGATGTCGAAACACACATCTAGCTGGGGGATGCCAAGTTTGATCCCGAGACACACATCTAGCAGGGTGGATGTCAAGACACACATCTAGCAGGATGGATGACGGGACACACACCTAGCAGGGAGATGCCAAGTTTGATCCCGAGACACACATCTAGCAGGGTGGATGTCGGGACACACACCTAGCAGGGGGATGCCGAGGTTGATGCCGAGACACACATCTAGCAGGGTGGATGACTGGACACACACCTAGCAGGGGGATGCCGAGGTTGATGCTGAGACACACATCTAGCAGGGTGGATGTCGGGACACACACCTTGCAGGATGGATGTCAAGACACACATCTAGCAGGGTGGATGACGGGACACACACCTTGCAGGATGGATGTCAAGACACACATCTAGCAGGGTGGATGACGGGACACACACCTTGCAGGATGGATGTCAAGACACACACCTAGCAGGATGGATGTCGAAACACACACCTAGCTGGGGGATGCCAAGGTTGATGCCGGGACACACACCTTGCAGGATGGATGTCAAGACACACACCTAGCAGGATGGATGTCAAAACACACACCTAGCTGGGGGATGCCAAGGTTGATGCCGGGACACACACCTTGCAGGATGGATGTCAAGACACACATCTAGCAGGATGGTTGCTGCACCCTCTCAGTCTGGCTCTGGGTACGTTCCCGCCTCTGTTGACACAGGAATACCCTCACACAACCATAGGAATACATCGGAACTGGGATATTCCCAGATGTAAACCACCTGGTGCTCTCAGGGTCATAATATTCAATCACATCCGAGTACAAGTTGTCCTTAGCGCCTCGACGCCGACCTCCAAAGGCATAAAGCTTTTCATCCAAGACACACAGACTGACGAAGTCTCTGGGGTAGCTCATGTCGGGGAGGATGTCCCAGGTGTCGGACGCTGGGGAGAACCCGAACACACCTTCCAGTCCCACCACATAAATCTGGTTGTTGAGGACACATGCCGTGAGACACATGTCATTAGCTGGCAGGCCCTTCTGTAGGACACTGCACGTCTTGCTGACGGTGTCGTAACACTGGACTGTGTTTGTTACCATCTCCTCATTGTTCTTGCCCCCGAATAAATAGATCTTCTTGCCATACGACACAAAGCCCATGTTTTCTACACCTGTGATCAGGTTCCCTCCCTCTTCCCACTTGTTTGATTTTTTGTCCCACATCTCGATGGAAGCCAGTACACTGTCCTCATCGAATCCTCCCAGAACACAGATGAGGTCATCTACCGCAGACATCGCATGGCGCCTCCGAGCGTGCAGCATGTTAGAGCCTCGCAGCCATGTTTCAAACGTCGGATCATACTTCCAAAATTCCGAGCTTCGTAGGCCCCCTGACACATAAATTTCATTCCCAATAGCACAAGCAGCAAATTCATTTCTCTTTTTGAAAGGAAGAGCTTTAAGCGAACAGAATTCCTTTGTGTCTGATCTGTAGTACTCCACATCATTACTCAGCCCATCCATCAATCGGCCGCCCAGTAGAATGGCACTCTCAAAGTATGGAAAGGAATAGCGAGGTGTGATCTGGTATGACGGGAGCATATGGCGGCGTGACGGGACAGTGTGATACAAAACAGCCTCCTCCAACAACTCCTTCCCTTTGTCCTCGTCAGACAGATGACCAGTCTTGACAACAACGTCCATCAAGTAGCTCTGACTGATCAGTGGGAACTTGACACATTCAAGGACCTGGAACTTGTAGGTGAGTCTCTTTTCAGAGTCTGACTCAAGCCACTTGACTGCTGCATCGAACACCTGCTCCTCAGACTGGCAATTCAGACGTCTGTCTCGCAACAGATCTACAATACAGTCCACAGACAATTTGGAAAAATCGTCATCCAAAACTACAGTTGGGAAATGTTCACAGGCGAACTTCTTGGCAAAGTTATAAAGGGGCTTGTGAGCATGGATGTCAGCAAGAGTCATAGCAGCAAGACAGTTACCTTCGTTCATGTTCTGCTGGAAATACTGGACACAGAGCTCCACCAGTGTGAGAACCTGGAACAGATGAGCCTGACTGAACAGTTCCTGGACAATGGCGCCTGTCATGCTCACATTACCAGTGTAGATGAAGTGAAGCACGTGCTCAAACACGGATGCATCTATCTGTTTGATGTCGATCACATCCTTGAAGCTCTCCTCCATGCCGGACGAGAACATGGACTTAAAGTAAGGGGATCCCGCAGCAAGGACGACCTTGTGGCAGGGGAACTTGCAGCCTTCGATGCTGATGATGATGTCGGTGTAGCTGGAGTCGAGACGCAGCTTCTGCATGTTGTCAATGAGGACGACGGTCTGCTCCTGACTGTGGTAGCTGCTCTGCGTGTCCTCCTCCACCACGTGGCTGTCCCCTCCTCCCTCCCCCGACATCATGGCTGAAACACAAGAAGATCATGGCTGAAACACAAGCAGGTCATGGCTGAAACACAAGCAGATCATGGCTGAAACACAAGCAGATCATGGCTGAAACACAAGCAGATCATGGCTGAAACACAAGCAGATCATGGCTGAAACAGAAGCAGATCATGGCTGAAACACAAGCAGATCATTGCTGAAACACAAGCAGATCATGGCTGAAACACAAGCAGATCATGGCTGAAACACAAGCAGATCATGGCTGAAACACAAGCACACAAAGGCTGAACACAAGCACACAAAGGCTGAAACACTAGCAGAGAATTAATACTGGGCAGTCAAACCCATGACTACAGCAATCTTGGAGAAATATTTTTTATTTCCCTGAATATAAGGAATGAAAGAATCCCTTGAATCTGGGGAGTTTAACATTTGTTGCCGTATTCCAAATTGAGTACGGTATGATAATAATACTAATATCCAATGAGTATTGTTTAACACTACAAATACTACACAACTCATCATAGTGTGCGTGCGTGCGTGCATGCATGTGTGAGTGTGTGGCTGCTTGTACTAGTTCGGACTGATTTTATAGTGCAAGCCCACTGAGATACCATACCACAGTTTCACTTGAATACCCCACTCAAGACACAGTATACTGACTCCGATCCAACAAGTCCTTGTTTTAGCCCCTTAATGCCGAGCGCCAGACAGGGTAACAACAAGTGCCATCTTTTAATATCTTTTGATAGGACACGGCTGTGGATCGGACCCTGGATGATGCTACACCTCCTATTTTTGTTTAACGTGGCACTGAGCAATATTCCAGCTATATGATGGCTATATGAGCATCGATCCACGCAATTGGGATCAATGACATGCATCAGCCATGTCAGCAAGCCTGACCACCCGATCCTGTTAGTCGCCTCTTACGACAAGCATAGTCGCCTCTTAGGGTAAGCATGGGATGTCCTACCCGTGAAGATCCGGGGTACAATAGGTATTCAGCATCCCATGCTGGAGCCTCTTAATAATCATGTTCGGACCTGACAAGCAAGTGCTTCCTATCAAGCAGCCATGTCATAATGATACTCAATGAACAGAATCAGGTATGACCTTCTGATCCAATAAGTCTGCCTCAAACTCCCATCCATACAACTGTTAGTACTGATACTGACCAAGACGCCATCAGTATTCGACCCATCAAGATACGGACTACAATTGGTGTTCTGCAACTCATACTTGTTGTATGGGGTGACTAACGGAATCGGGGGGTCAGGCAAGCTGACGTGGTTGATGCATGTCATTGATCCCAATTGCGTGGATCTATGCTCAAGATGTCAATCACTGGATTATCTGGTCCAGACTCAAATAATTTATAGACCACTGTCATATAGCTGGAATATTGCTGAGTGCGGCGTTAAACAACACACAAACAAAACCAAAACCATCAGTATTGACTAAACATACCAACTGACATATGGGTTCCATCGTAGCAAGTACTAGTTCAGCTCATTCCTCAACACTGACATAACGATGGTACTGCCAGCCTGTTCACCAGTATATGATCAGGGATGCACCAGTACACGTAGTATGCCCCACCAGTGATACAGAGTCTGTCCTAGGCTATACACTATGGCCATTCACTGCTGTACCTGCGACCGGATACTTTCAATGTTGAAAAGGTCCAGATAAAATATCAAGCAGCCTGATTTGTATCATTGTTAGAATTGAAAAGCCATTTCAGGTTGGCAAAATATGTTTTGCAATTAGATGCACACTGCTTCCCTGAAATTATGTTCATATTAATAGATTCTGTTGTTCAGAAATGATGTTGTCTGTGACAAGTCGAAACAGCCAGCGAGAAGTCAACATGATCACTAGTGTCAGTGTGTAGTGACTACTGTCAGTGTGAAGTGAATAATGTCAGTGTGTAGTGACTACTGTCAGTGTGTAGTGACTACTGTCAGTGTGAAGTGAATACTGTCGGTGTGTAGTGAATACTGTCAGTGTGAAGTGACTACTGTCAGTGTGAAGTGACTACTGTCAGTGTGAAGTGAATACTGTCAGTGTGAAGTCACTACTGTCAGTGTGTAGTGACTACTGTCAGTGTGAAGTGAATACTGTCAGTGTGAAGTGAATACTGTCAGTGTGAAGTGACTACTGTCAGTGTGAAGTCACTACTGTCAGTGTGAAGTGAATACTGTCAGTGTGAAGTGACTACTGTCAGTGTGAAGTGACTACTGTCAGTGTGAAGTGAATACTGTCAGTGTGAAGTGAATACTGTCAGTGTGAAGTGACTACTGTCAGCTTGAAGTGAATACTGTCAGTGTGTAGTGACTACTGTCAGCTTGAAGTGAATACTGTCAGTGTGAAGTGACTACTGTCAGTGTGAAGTCACTACTGTCAGTGTGAAGTGACTACTGTCTATGTGAAGTGAATACTGTCAGTGTGAAGTGACTACTGTCAGTGTGAAGTGAATACTGTCAGTGTGAAGTGAATACTGTCAGTGTGAAGTCACTACTGTCAGTGTGAAGTCACTACTGTCAGTGTGAAGTGACTACTGTCAGTGTAAAGTGACTACTGTCAGTGTGAAGTGAATACTGTCAGTGTGAAGTGAATACTGTCAGTGTGAAGTGACTACTGTCAGTGTGAAGTGACTACTGTCAGTGTGAAGTGACTACTGTCAGTGTGAAGTGACTACTGTCAGTATGAAGTGAATACTGTCAGTGTGAAGTCACAGCTCTCAGTGTGAAGTCAATACTGTCTGTGTGAAGTCACTGCTGTCAGTGTGAAGTGACTACTGTCAGTGTGAAGTCACTACTGTCAGTGTGAAGTGAATACTGTCAGTGTGAAGTCACTGCTCTCAGTGTGAAGTCACTGCTGTCAGTGTGAAGTCACTGCTCTCAGTGTGAAGTCACTACTGTCAGTGTGAAGTGACTACTGTCAGTGTGAAGTCACTACTGTCAGTGTGAAGTGAATACTGTCAGTGTAAAGTCACTGCTGTTAGTGTAAAGTCACTGCTGTCAGTGTGAAGTCACTGCTGTCAGTGTAAAGTCACTACTGTTAGTGTGAAGTCAATACTGTCAGTGTAAAGTCACTGCTGTCAGTGTGAAGTCAATACTGTCAGTGTAAAGTCACTGCTGTCAGTGTGAAGTCAATACTGTCAGAATTAAGTCAATACTGTCAATGTGAAGTCACTGCTCTCAGTGTGACGTTAATACTGTCAGTGTGAAGTGACCATTTTACACTTATAAAACATATTATCTTCATACTGACCCTCATCTTACTAGCAAACAATCAATATCAATATATTGAGTACCCATCACTTCAAACATAAGTGAGTGTGTCTTAAGCATTTTTAGCAATATTCCAACAATATCTTTGCGGGGAACACCAGAAATAAGCTTCACACAATGTACCCATGTGTGGAAATAGAATCATGAAAAAATACATATATCAGGATTTTACATGTCACATAATTCCTGATGCAATAATTTCCTGAAATACTTCCAAATGTTTTTGATAGGAGTCATAACGGACACAACAAGTTCACTAAGACAGAATAATAAGAATATTTGTTTCATAAAATACTGACCACTATTTCGCTGTCAAGCATCCCCTGCAGCTAAAGTGCATTTGACAGCGCTTGCATTGCCGGGCCTGTCAAAAAGCACCAGGGCTTCATTTTCTTTTAAATGATGACTTAGAAGAAGAAAAAAAACACTAAAATATGTGGTGTCTCATCATGACAGTTTTTCAAGGCTATGTAAAACCCTGGTATATATGGCCTATATACTCACTGCAAAAAGAAACGCAATCCATAGAATGTTTGTTTGTTGTTGTTGTTGTTTAATGCCGCACTCAGCAATATTCCAGCTATATGACGGCATCTGTAAATAATGAAGTCTGGACCAGACATGCATAAACCAATTCAGCGACCCTGAATAGGTCTTTAACAACCCATGCTTGCCGTGAAAGGCGACTATGCTTGTCGTAAAAGGCGACTAACAGGATGGGGTTGTCAGGCTCGCTGACTTGGTTGATGCATGTCATCGATCCCAAATGCGTGGATTGATGCTCATGATGTCAATCACTGGATTGTCTGGTCCAGACTCGATTGTGTGTACATATATTAACCAACATGTATGGTATTCACGTCTCTTTTGGCAGCGAGTATATTTACACAGAAAGAGATCATTGAGAATAATACTGCAGCAGCTGTTCATTTCAGAGTCTATATCCTAAGCAAACCATCAGCCATGAGGGAGCATTGTCTCCTATATTGTGTGAAATTCATGTTATGAAGAGAATATCATCATGATCATACACAATCAACAACCTCAACACAATGAAACAGACAAACTATAACAATCACTCTCACACAGCTGCCGACAGCTGGCGCCGGCACCATAGTAGCCTATTCCAGGTCAGGTATAACACAGCCGTATCACCAGGATCAATTAGTGTCGTGGACAAGTGTCAGAGGGTACACCAGACCCTACCAGACTTTTATCCAACTCAAAATAGTTTGTCCTATACACTTTCTCATGGAAGTATGGCGTTTTGAACATGTTGAATTGTAGGGCTGTGTATTGACCTGGAGTTTGTATTGCAATATATTGCCATACTTTAACCTGTGTTGGATACCTACTGCACTACCGGTATATTGCCAGTTTACATTTTCATGGCTGGTTGGTTGGTTGGGATTGTTGTTTAACGCCGCACTCAGCAATATTCCAGCTAAATGACGGCGGTCTGTAAATAATCGAGTCTGGACCAGACAATCCAGTGATTAATGTCAGATACCATCAGTCAGTGTCCCTTATATGGGACGATGTCGAAATCATCTGCCATTTTGTATCCCAGCAATGATCAAGGGAGATAATACAGTCATATGGTAGCACAAGCGACACCTTCATTATACTCTTGGTATAGAGAGCTCAATGAACGGGCTATCGCTGTGAGGTGCTTGACAGGCACGATATGAACACCCTAATTGATAAAAAGATTGTCAGAGACAAGTCGTATCAGAAAGATACTAGTTTCCATCTCCATATCGATTAGGAACATACTTATTTATATTTGCCCCAAAATAATGCTACATTTACAAACATTTGGCAATACATATTGCTGAAGAATGGCACCACAATATACCGGTGTACCGTTAATACCACACACCCTTATTGAATCACTGTATATCATGGTAGGCTGCATGTTGTATACGACTAATATGCCTATTTTGTTACAAAATATATAAAGTTCAAGGAGCTGATGGTTGATTTGCTTCAATCTAACACTGAAATACCTTCGATAAACATGATAAACATGATAAAGAAAAGGGTTCTGACTAGGAGCAATCATATGACATCAGTAAAAGTCTTGGCAATCAAGTGAAGCATGCCCCGTGTTTATGCCTTGCCTCTACCCCCATGTGTAGTGTAATAAAGTAGATTTGCCCTGAACTATTTTAACATCAAAGCACTCGGATGAAAGCATCCTCATGCTTTAACTATAATAGTTCAGGACCCTTAAAGATCCGGGGTAGAATAGGTCTTCAGCAACCCATGCTTGCAATTAAAGGCGACTATGGTTGTGGTAAGAGGTGAATAACAGGATCGGGGGGTCAGGCTCGCTGACTTGGTTGATGCATGTCATCATATCCCAATTGCGTGGACCGATGCTCATGATGTCAATCACTGTATTTTCTGGTCCAGACTCAACTATTTACAGACTGCCGACAAACATAATACCGTATTCGACGTAATAAGCACCCAGGGCGCTCTCAAAATTAGAAATAGGGGGCTCTTATTAGAATATTACTTTGGTGGAAAGTTGAAAGATAAGTTTCATGGTTTATGCTGACAGTCTGAACTGTTTATATACGACAGATACATTTTTCCAGAAATTAATTGCCCATAATTAAGGGTGCATATAACACACGAGTGTGTATTATACACAAATAAATAAGTCTTGTGTACATTGATCAATCGGAAGGGGGGCTAATTGGGATTGTTCACTTGCCAATATATAAGCAAATATGGCAGTGGGCGCTTATTAGAGTGGGGCGACTATTACGTCGAATATGGTAGTTCAGGGCAAAACTATATGTTGACACTACACATGGAGGTACAGCAAACTTTATTTCTTAAATCAAACCATCACAAGTGCTTGTTGCACAATAGTACTACATCGATAGGATATGAAAAATACCAATAGTATCGTCTACAGTATGGATAACAGTTGATAGTTTGATGACATGAATGCCATGACTACCATGTTTAATACCAAGCACTGTGATCATCATTTCCTTTTTAACAATGAGTCTCTGTGTGCATGCTGTAGCTCACCTTATTTGCCTGGAAATTTGCAACATTCATTGTCATTGATATTCAGATCACAATAGAGATCATACAGCTAGGTGATACAATATAAACACATGCACCATAAATCTGAAAATAAATAGAAGTTATGACACAACTGACCACGATGATATGCTCCAGCAAATACATCACACCCTGACCCTGAAACAATACAGCCAGGTCATGATACGATACGTATCATGATACATAGGTCACAATACGATACGTATCGCGATACACATACTTGCGTCAAATTCACATGGAAACTTCTTGACAACAAATATTTCAGAGCAGGTTCAAAAGGAAAAGCTAACTGTAGACACATGTACGTAATGGCTATTTTTCGTAGTGAACTTGAAACGCTAATTACAACACATTTTCCTATAAAAATGCCAGGGGTAATTAAATGAGTAGTAAGTAATTTATTTGTATCGATACAGAGATATTGTGTTTCGTATCGACACATGAAAACTCTCAATGCACCAGAGCACCGATGTATCATGTCACCCTACCATGTACACCGCCTCCGTGGTCTTGTGGTAGAGCGTCCGCCCGGAGAGTGGAAGGTCCGGGGTTCGATCCCCGGCCGCGACATACCAAAAGACGTTAAAAGATGGTACTTGTTGTTACCCTGTCTGGCGCTCGGCATTAAGGGGCTAAAACAAGGACTGGTCGGCTCGGAGTCAGTATACTGTGTCTGAGTGGGGTATTCATGTTAAACTGCGGCATGGTATCTCAGTGAGCTAGCACTATAAATCGGCATCAGTCCTGACTAGTACAAGCAGCCACACAAACACACACACGTACATGCACGTCGCTATATAAGTGCAATAATCTTGGACGCGACGTTAAACCCCATTTCACCTCACCTCACCTACCATGTACATGGTCTACTGGGCAAGAAGTACACTGTCAAAGTGGCATGGAATATGGCCCCACGTCTAAAACCAAACTGTAAGACCGGGTGCATAGCATGCCAGCATGGTCAGTGACATCATAACCATGGTTACTGTTATCAGCAGCAGCATCCTTTAGGGTTTCACAGGGGAAGTTGAAAATGTAAAAGCTTACAATGAACCATGATGAACAGTGCTTCCTGTAAGATTTGATTAGGTTGCCATGGTTACAGCCTTAAATGATATCCCCAAACAATGTAAATCACTGTTTTTAATCAAGGAAATAATGTTGTCATTTGATAATTTCCTCATATTGCATTAGTTTGCACACAAGAATGAGCTTGTGTGTTTGTTTCATGTTTACAGAGCTCCAGATAACTTTTTGAGCAATTGAATTTTTACTCTAGGGTTTTCTATGTTAATTGGGTTATTACATTTTTCATTGGGTAACCAATATTTCTTCACTCATCTATTCATCACTCTATTGGGTTTTTCCCCAAAAGAGTGAACATTTTAAGATTTTAAAGAAATGAAATAATATTTTAGGTGTATATGACTGGTCTAAATATATAGGCTTGACTAGGAAAGTAAATTACCTTGTAATTGTGTTTAGGAAATTAGCTCCCTGGTACGCATGCTGAAAAAGTTTCATTGGGTGTTTAAGGGTGCTGTTTTTTTATACTTTTGAGTTTTTCATTTAATGCATGCGTTGTCTGTTGGCATGTTAATTGAAAGTACCGGTAATCATGGTAATTGGGTTTTGAATATTTTTTAGCGGTATTTTACGCAACGGTGCTTATATGCAGCTCTGTGTTTATATGAATATGATTTGGAAGGGGCTTCAATACATTTTGCGGATGATAAAATGTCCCTTCTAATCAGCATCATCAGTGAGCATGGTGAAGATGACAGAATACCTAATAAATACTAGTAATTATTTCCAAAACCAACCTGATATTTCACAATTTTTACCTGCTAGTGGAATTTGTGTAACCTGTTAAGTTTACCAAACAGTGATTGGTAAAAGAATGTCACTAGACAGGCCTGAAAATTGTAAGTACATGTTTCTCTCTACCATGTCATTCCTCGATCTCCAAATGACATGTTCAGTGGTTGGTTAACACAACAGTCATCAATTTTCCAACTATAAGACAGTGACCACAGCTGGTAAATAATAAAGTCTGAACTAGACAAACCAGTGATTGATATAATGAACACTGAGTATGATCCCAGGATCCAAACAAAGTATGCTTGTTTCCTTTATTTATGCTTTATGTTTAAGTAAAGGACACCCCTATTCTTTCATATTCTTAATTAATCTGTCAGGGCATCGGGATGTATATTAACAGTGTTAAAATAAAATTAAAAAATCACATCTGCAGGTGTTATTGGATATTCAGTTCCCACAAAATATGTCCAAATTAAATTTACATTCATTAAATTATTTAACATTACCTGCAAATCTAAAATATTGCACATATATAATTATATAATTATATATATATATATATATATATATATATATATACATACATATACATACATATACATACATACACGATCAATGTAAATCACTTTCAGTTTGCCTCTAACTGACACAATTGAGTAACTTAAATCCTTCAGAAAAGAAACAAAACTATCATAGAGAAACAGACAAAGTAACTACAAAATGTGATATTTCAACAATATTTTAATTTCAATATCATTATTATTATTGTCGCTCTCATAATGCATATCCTATATCAATTTATAGTAAGAAATCTTTCTATTAACAATGAGATCAAGATACAAGATTTATTAAAAACCTATGAGTAATTAACATTAACGAAGCTGTCAACATGTCTCAAAAACTGATGAAAAATACAACTGTTAATGAGGATGTACACTTCAAGTCAAACATGCCCACGTGACCCGTCACTCGTGAAGAGCTTCTCACCATGCACTAGGAAAGTGATCGAATTATGAACGACATGTCAAATTTGTAGATTAGGAAATGACCCACGTACAATTTTTGTCACGAAGACAAAACACGCTGTTACAGTTGTTTAAATTTGAACGTAAACTTGTGTTATAACCAGAATCACTGACGTAAGCACGACAAACTAACTTACATGCAGCTCTGCTACTGTGGAATAGTGTCAATATTTACCGAGTCAAGCAACCGGAAGTAGCTAAAATCAGGACCACCAATAAAAGGTCACGATTATTCCCTGCCGTGCTATCAACCAGGAAAATCCTGAAAAATATGTAGTATCTCGCAAAACGTTAACTGTATAACTTGCCTCCATTTCAAGCCTTCAGCTGGACAGATTTCTTACTATAAATGGATATAGGATATGCATTATGAGAGCGACAATAATAATAATAATATTGAATATATTTCGTATATTTCATGCTTTCGTTCACTCGTTTGTCTGATCCAGGATCGATCATTTACAGGCCTACCGTATTCGACGTAATAAGCGCCCAGGGTGCTCTCAAAATTAGAAATAGGGGGCTCTTATTAGAATATAATTTTGGTGAGATTAAAAACCAGGTTGAAAGATTGTAAATTTTGTGGTTAATGCTGACAGCCTGAAATAATATGAAAGAAGAATCTGTGTGTATTATACACGATAGATATATTTTCGAGAATTAAATTGCCCATAATTAAGGGTGCATATAACAAATGAGTGCGTATTATACACGAATAAATAAGTCTTGTGTACATTGATCAATCGGAAAGGGTGCTAACTGGGATTGTTCACTAGCCATTATATTAGCAAATAACGCCGTGGGCGCTTATTAGAGCGGGGCGCTTATTACGTCGAATACGGTATGTGATATAGCTTGAATAATACAGGGGATATTCACAATAATCCAAGTGATTCAAGTATGGAAATGGAATATTACCAACAAAGGTTTATAGTTACTATGAGTTCATTGGTCACATGGCATCATAATGCATATTGTCGAGAACGATACGTTATTACGTCATCCATATAGAGTTCATGGCGTCACAAACGGATAGCGTTACGTCACCAAATGTGTTTCTTTGCATTATGTATAGGGTAGACATGTCATAAACTTTCTTTCTTGAAAAGCGTAGCCGAAAAGGATGATAGGGTTCCCACGCACTCGAAAGATATATTTTTTAACTTACATTTTTGTGATCCCTACAGTGTCTAGTGAGTGAATTTTGACGTTCCCAAGGCGAACTATTGTCCCACTGTGCTCATTGTTGGCCGTATTGGATTTCCGACAAAAAATATAATAGGCATAACTTTTGAACTCGATATGGCAAATAAACATATGAGACCATTGTTTCTATTCGCAAAAATGGGTCGGTCGGGTAGCCTAGTGGTTAAAACGTTCGCTCGTCACGTCGAAGACCCGGGTTCGATTCCCGACATGGGTACATTGCGTGGAGCCCATTTCGTGTGTCCCCCGCCGTGATATAGCTGGACAATTGTTAAAAGCGGCGTAAAACCATACTCACTCACTCACTATTCGCAAAAATAACAAACTCTAACTTTCAATAAGTCACAGTAACAAAGGAACGACTGTGCGGCTTGTGCGGAAGGACAAACTACACAAGCGATAAGGTAAATATCTTCCTACTTGACTTTTTGTGAATATCCCCTGTATTATTCAAGCTCTATCACCTTTAAATGATCGATCCTGGATCAGACAAACTAGTGAACGAAAGCATGAACAACGATCCACGCCACCTGGGATGAACAAACGCACGCACTGTATCTGACCATCCGTTCTTCTCTCGACTAGAAACGTACCACGATGTTTTCTTGAAATGGCAATGCTAAGAGGGGAACGAGCGTCAGAATATTATGTTAAACTGTTTCCCTTTCGTGAGTAAAAAGGAACAAGTTTATTTTGATAGATAGTTTCAATTATGACATTACCTTTTACGATCAAATAAATAAATGACAAGTGATTCCATGTCATTTCATTGGCTAACGAAGCAATTATGTTTCGGTTTAAATGCTTGCAAGAAAAAGTTCACGCCTTGTATATAAATATAAAGAGGACTACTGTTTCCTGATTGGCTGATAATAGAGTGGGCGTGGCTTGTGTTGCATTATTGCGCTGAACGACATGCTGATTTCGTCCTTGTCAACATTTTCGTTTCTGTTTCTGATTAAATAAGCAGTATGTGGAGTTGTTATTGTTAAGGTTGTATATTTCATTTATAAGAATATTTATATGCTTTTGTTTATGTATATATTAAGCGTAAACACCGTTGTGTACTAATTGCGTAAAGCCGATAGCATTCTAATATGTGTTTCTTATGTGCAAATATGTCAAACTCAGTTCCAGATATCTCACATATCAGTGCCATTTATCTCAAATTATTTAGAAAAATCTGAAACTAAATTTGAGATATCTTCAACATTTAACATTCAATTTAAAGACACTTTGAATTCAATTTGAGATATGACCCGTGAAGATCCGGGGTAGAACAGGTCTTAAGCAACCCATGCTTGCCGTAAAAGGCGAATTTGCTTGTCGAAAGAGGCGACTAATGGGATCGGGTGGCCATGCTCGCTGACTTGGTTGATGCATTTCATCGTATCCCAATTGCGTGGATCGATGCTCATGATGTCAATCACTGGATTATCTGGTCCAGACTCGACTATTTACAGACCGTCAGCATATAGCTTGAATATTGCTGACTGCGGCGTTAAACAACAAACAAACAAACAATTTGAGATAAGGTGCCTGCATAATAAAACTATGTAATACCAAACCGGCTCTATATATTGGTTCAGGTTTACGTGGACACACAGTAGGGGATAGCACTGGACTTATAGAAGTGTGGTATTGCTCAGCTGATAAGTAACTGTAAGGGGTACAGGCGTACGCGTCCTCGGACAATTTTCAAAAGTTATATCACAGCCCGTCAAGTGAAAGTCCAGTTTATCACTTTGGTGAAAGTCGCTCAGTCGCATGCTAGTCATTGGGATAGTTCCAAGTACACGTCAACAAGATGACTTGACATTACAACAGTTGCGTGTACTAGTCATAAACATAGTTGCGTGTTCTAACCAACATGATGGTTGTAGGTACTAATCACCAAGATTGTGGCAGTCATCAGTACGGTTGCGTGTACTGTAACTCAAATTTGTTGCGTGTTCTGTTCATCAAGATAGTTGCGTGTACTAGCCATCAAGATAGTTGCGTGTACTAGCCATCAAGATAGTTGCGTGTACAAGCCATCAAGATAGTTGCGTGTACTAGCCATCAAGATTGTCGTGTGTACTAGCCATCAAGATAGTTGCGTGTACTAGCTATCAAGATATTTGTGTGTATTAGCCATCAAGATAGTTGTGTGTACTAGCCATCAAGATAGTTGTGTGTACTAGCCATCAAGATATTTGTGTGTACTAGCTATCAAGATAGTTGTGTGTACTAGCTATCAAGATAGTTGTGTGTACTAGCTATCAAGATAGTTGTGTGTACTAGCTATCAAGATAGTTGCGTGTACTAGCCATCAAGATAGCTGTGTGTACTACCGATCAAGATAGTTGTGTGTAATAGCTATCAAGATAGTTGTGTGTACTATCCATTAAGATAGTTGCGTGTACTAGCCATCAAGATAGTTGTGTGTACTAGCTATCAAGATAGTTGCGTGTACTAGCCATCAAGATAGCTGTGTGTACTACCGATCAAGATAGTTGTGTGTACTAGCCACCAAGATAGTTGCGTGAACTAGCCATCAAGATAGTTGTGTGTACTAGCCATCAAGATAGTTGTGTGTACTAGCCATCAAGATAGTTGCGTGTACTAGCCATCAAGATAGTTTTGTGTACTAGCCATCAAGATAGTTGTGTGTACTAGCCATCAAGATAGTTGTGTGTACTAGCTATCAAGATAGTTGCGTGTACTACCGATCAAGATAGTTGTGTGTACTAGCCATCAAGATAGTTGCGTGTACTAGCCATCAAGATAGTTGCGTGTACTAGCCATCAAGATAGTTGTGTGTACAAGCCATCAAGATATTTGTGTGTACTAGCTATCAAGATAGTTGTGTGTACGAGCTATCAAGATAGTTGTGTGTACTAGCTATCAAGATAGTTGCGTGTACTAGCTATCAAGATAGTTGTGTGTACTAGCCATCAAGATAGTTGCGTGTACTAGCCATCAAGATAGTTGCGTGTACTAGCTATCAAGATAGTTGCGTGTACTAGCCATCAAGATAGTTTTGTGTACTAGCCATCAAGATAGCTGTGTGTACTACCGATCAAGATAGTTGTGTGTACAAGCCATCAAGATAGTTGCGTGTACTAGCCATCAAGATAGTTGCGTGTACTAGCCATCAAGATAGTTGTGTGTACAAGCCATCAAGATATTTGTGTGTACTAGCCATCAAGATAGTTTTGTGTACTAGCCATCAAGATAGCTGTGTGTACTACCGATCAAGATAGTTGTGTGTACTAGCCACCAAGATAGTTGCGTGAACTAGCCATCAAGATAGTTGTGTGTACTAGCCATCAAGATAGTTGTGTGTACTAGCCATCAAGATAGTTGCGTGTACTAGCCATCAAGATAGTTTTGTATACTAGCCATCAAGATAGCTGTGTGTACTACCGATCAAGATAGTTGTGTGTACTAGCCATCAAGATAGTTGCGTGTACTAGCCATCAAGATAGTTGCGTGTACTAGCCATCAAGATAGTTGTGTGTACAACCCATCAAGATATTTGTGTGTACTAGCTATCAAGATAGTTGTGTGTACGAGCTATCAAGATAGTTGTGTGTACTAGCTATCAAGATAGTTGCGTGTACTAGCTATCAAGATAGTTGTGTGTACTAGCCATCAAGATAGTTGTGTGTACTAGCCATCAAGATAGTTGTGTGTACTAGCCATCAAGATAGTTGTGTGTACTACCCATCAAGATAGTTGTGTGTACTAGCCATCAAGATAGTTGTGGGTACTAGCCATCAAGATAGTTGTGTGTACTAGCCATCAAGATAGTTGTATGTACTAGCCATCAAGATAGTTGTATGTACTAGCCATCAAGATAGTTGTGTGTACTAGCCATCAAGATAGTTGTATGTACTAGCCATCATGATAGTTGTATGTACTAGCTATCAAGATAGTTGTGTGTACTAGCCATCAAGATAGTTGCGTGTTCTAGCCATCAGGGTGGTGCATGTTCTAGCCATCAAGAGAGTTGTAGACACTAGTCACAAAAATCGTTGCAATGCTAGCCATAATGATGGTTGCAAGTACTATTCATTAAGATATCGTTCCAGGTACTAGCTATCAAGACAGTTGTAGGTACTAGTCAAGATTGTCTCACGAACTCTGTTTGAGGAGGAGGAGGAGGAGGAGGCATAGATCAATGGCCTCGCCCTCCGTTCCAACCCCTATGCAATCACTCGTTGTGCAAGGCATGTCCGCATAAACTGTTTGAAGCATGATAAAATGAGAGATCCGGATAGCAGGCGCATGTCTTGACATACACCAATCACAGCAAGCTGCTTATTTCGTCGTGTGAGTTGTTGATCAAAACTGAATCAAAGTGAAGTGCTGGTGGATGGTATTTGCGTATTGTTTTGAATGACAACAAAGTCCCAATCTATTGATGTGGGCATCTACGGGTGCTTTTTTTTTATTTGTCAGTATCTGTATGCAACTTATGCTGTTTGTCACAGACTATAGGAAAAACTGTATATAATGCGTCATCAAACATCAACAGCAACGTTCACGACATGGCGCGCGAAACACGATAACACGCTATAGATTTGTAGGTTGAGTGAGTGAGTTGGATTTAACGCCACTTTAAACAGTATTCAAGTTATATGACTGCGTGTCAGCTAAATGTAGGAGGGAAACCCGAAGTGATGCAGGTCTCAGACGTTTACCACTTTGGTGAAACCCACGACCATGAGTAGGGTGCTGACAAACCTATAAACATAATCGGGGCGAACCGGGATTTGAACCCACAATAATGCCAAGGGACGCAACTCCTCACAGCCAACTGCGGCGCCTCAGACGACTGGGCCACCCATCAGAGAGGCAATGAGTGAGTGAGTGAGTTGGGTTTAACGCCGCTTTTAACAGTATTCCAGTCATATCACGGTCAGCTTAATGTGGGAGGAAAGCCCGAAGTGATGCAGGTCTCAGATGTTTACCACTTCGATGAAACCCACGAGCACGGGTATAGTGCTGACAAACCTAGAAACATAATCGGGGCGAACCGGGACTCGAACCCACAATCATAGGTTTCTGGTGTGCCCAAGGGACGCAACTCCTCACAGCGAATCGCGGCTTAGACGACTGGATATTCACGGGTCTTCACGCATTTGTGTTCTCGCTTTTTAAGAACTATGGCAATATTATTATTATTAACATGTGAATTCTTTGACGTAATCAAATTCTCACAATATTTTGCCTTATAAGAATGTGAGCCTACCCCAATCTCTACCAAGTTTAAGCGTCTAGATTGACCAAGCCTTTCGTCTGTGAGTGAGTATCATAATGTCACGTGATACAATCAAGATCGATCAGTAAAGATCGATGAGAAGTCGTGCGAATAAGACGTGAACGTATTGACAAATATCTGCCATAGGAAAGCATTCAGATGTTAGATTATATAGCAACTAACGTCCATTTATGCAGCTTTTATCGAGACAAGCTAAATGGACCGATATTGATTTTGACAGATCGTTTTAGACTATTGTTGACACTAACCAGCCTACTCAAGTTATTTACAATACGCTATAGTTACCACAATCCTTACACCCGATACCCCTATATGCTAGTGGACTCGACCAACCCGAAAGAAAGTAATTTGTTTTTGTGTTTAATTGTCACCGAGCAAACACAGAAGGAATTACATGTATTCCATTATATACAGGAATACTATTATCTGATAAGTCAACCCGCCGGCGGCTTGGCGTGAAGAAATCTCGACCCTGTGTACTTAGTAAATGTTTCCAATACGTCGCCACACACACCTAGACCTAATCAATACTCGGGTAGAGAAAGTTGGCTTGAATGAAAGCAGCGGAGCATAAAGCTTCGTCCGGGTATTGTCAGATTAAGACCACTACGAACGTCTTGGGGCGAACGTCAGCTGTGTTTGATAAAGCGTGGTGTTTAATCCAGCTCGACGCAAGCCCTGTTAGTCAGCGAGAGTGAAATCTGCAAGTTGCCTGTCGGGAATCTCAGCTGCCATAAGGTGTGAAATCAACGATAAAGTTTCGGATTTACTACCAAGATGTCCAGGTGCAAGTGGAACTTTTCTACCTTAGATGAACTGCACAAGACGGCCAATGTCACTCTCAAGTTAGCTATGATTAATGAGCGCTCTAAGCGGTGGGGGAAGGTAAGAATTGTTTTTATATATGATATATGTTTTGTCGGTTTGTTTGTTGTTTAACGCCGCGCTCAGCAATAGTTCAGCTATGTGACGGCGGTCTGTAAATAATCGAGTCTGGACCAGACAGTTCAGTGATTGACATCATGTTCATCGATCTACGCAATTGGGATACGATGACATGCATCAACTGAGTCGGCGAGCCTGACCACGAGATCCCGTTAGTCGCCTCTGACGACAAGCATTCGCCATTTATGATATATGTACATGCATAGGATCTTAATTTTGCCCCAATGGGGATGTGGTTGCTACCGGTAGGGCAGGCCATTCTTATCCTTTTCGCGGACTTTGTTTTCAGTGATCTATTCATATAATTTTCAACGCCCTTTTTGTCTTTTACGCTTTATTGAATCCTATTTCGGCGGATCACCAAGATTGGTTATTCTCTGGCGTCGACGTGGTATATACACACAGTATGGTATAGGGTGAATGAATGTTTTTGCGCTTGTATCCCTGGTATAATTGTCGTGTCAGTTATTTAGGTATCCTAATCTTGTTACTGGACTTTATACATTTCTTTTTTGTATTGTGCCGGTAAATATAGTACATGAAGACATGGTTTAACGACCGCCTCCGTGGTCTAGTGGTAGAGCGTCCGCCCGGAGAGCGGAAGGTCCGGGGTTCGATCCCCGGCTGCGTCATACGGACGATACTTGTTGTTACTCTCTTAATGTGGCGCCCGGCATTAAGGGGTTTACACAAGGACTGATCTGCTCGGAGTCAGTATACTGTGTGGGTATTCATGTTAAACTACGGCATGGTATCACCGTGTTTGTTTGTTTATTTGTTGTTTAACGCCACACTCAGCGATATTCCAGCTATATGACGGAGGTCTGTAAATAATCGAGTTTGGGACCAAACAATCCAGTGATTGACATCATGAAAATCGATCCACGCAATTGGGAAACGATGACATGCATCAACCAAGGCAGCTAGCCTGACCACCCGATCCCGGTAGTCGCCTTGTACGACAAGCATGGGTTGCTGAAGACCTATTCTACCCCGTATCGTCACGGGTTGGTATCTCAGTGATCTAGCATTATAAATCGGCATTATTCCGGACGAGTACAAACAGACACACACACGCACACGCACACGCTATATAAGTGCAATAATCTTCGACGCGACGTTAAACCCCATTTCCCCTCACCTCACCTTGGTCTAACTGTATTCACAAATACGTGTCCAAGGAAACATGGCTAAAAAAAATTAAACCTGCCCCGCAGCGTTGTATATCTGATATTGTCATCTGTGGCGAAAGTCGAATTGAATATTTATCTCATAAGAATCAGATAAAAATAAATACGGTATTCATTGCAATTTTAGCATAACTGGCAAAACAGGATCAACCTCGTTGAGCCAGAAAACCTAACACAGAGAATTACTGTTGGACGTCTATATATACTTCTCAAAAGAAGTTAAAGAACACCCGATTCTTTCATATAACTATAGTTAATGTGTCAGACCATGATAGATTAATAGTACTATGAATAAATCGGGTGTTCTTTAACTCCTTTTGAGTAGTATATTTGTCAATGTACATAATACCATACCAAGGATTAATTAATCTGGTAGTGTGTTAATCTGCATAATTACACTGGGAACTCCGCCGTCTGGATAAACGAAGTTTTCCTGTATGGCTATGATATGACGGCTATACCAGTTGGGGAGGATTTATAATGTTAACACTGTTAAAGTGATGTACCATGCTTTCTTGATGGAATTCAACATAACAGTAGTTCCTTGCTCGTTGTATACCAACCACCGGATAACTGTACATGTGGTTTCGCAACCGTGTCTAAATAACAGTTAAAAAAACATTAAAATAAAACAACAAAATAAAAAAACAACTAATAAACAAAAAATAAAAATGTGTCATTTGTAAATAGTGGTAAGATATTCTGGTCTATTTTACAGAATTAATGTATTTCGAATGTTTTATTTTTTATATTTTTTTAGTCGCTATATGGCTGAAATAATGCCGATGTGACGTTAACGTTTAACTCACGTACTATAATTGTTTTATTCATGGAGTAATACATGTTAAACGCGTAGAAGACACTGATTATAGTGTTATTCTAGACAGTTTTTCGGGGCGGTCGGGTAGCCTAGTGGTTAAAGCGTTGGCTCGTCACGCCGAAGACCCGGGTTCGATTCCCGACATGGGTACAATGTGTGAAGCCCATTTCTGGTGTCCCCTGCCGTGATATTGCTGGAATATTGCTAAAATCGGCGTAAAACCATACTCACTCACTCACTCGACAGTTTTTCAGTTTCGGTAAGTCTTTTTCTTTGTTGCCCGACATGACCTTGCAGCGTAAACATAAAACTGAATTCGAATTAATCTAACAAGATACATAGAATACATGGCTATGATCAACTGGAGGGCATAGTTCCCAGGGCTGAGTTTAGCGCTAAGCCTGTTCTAACTTTCATACTTCCACAGACTTGTGTTTTGTGGAACGGGGCCCTGACGAGGGCATCTTTCTTATGTAATTCTGTTGAGACTCGAGCATTTTTACGGAAGCCTTTCGGGGCCATTTGTTTTTTTTTGTTTTTCTTGAAATTTCAAGATGTTATGTTGTAGTTTCTAGATACTAACTTAAAATTTCAAGATACATACTAAGTTGAAATTTAAAGATAATGGCCCTAAAAGGATTCCCTAAATTTTGCTTTTTATGAAATATTTGTTCAGCTTTACTGTCATAAAGCAACATTTACAAAACGTTGGTTATCAAGTTCATAAACAAATTATGTACTACTTCATACCAATGTCACTGAATGAATCACGTGTATCCAATACCAGTTTTTGCTTGTGTTAATCCTGCCTTAATCCTTCTCTAATGTATTTAGCAACCTTATGTAATGATGTTTACAAAGATTAATTTGGCATACGCCATCTCAATGTAATGGATTCTTACACGAATATTTAACATTGTATACAAATATTATTTTGTCATACATGTTTAGTTCTCCCTATGTTATGGACTTCAAACGCTACCAAACCAAGTTGTAACGACATTGTCAGGATTTCTCTGGCACTTATTATGTCAACATTCTAAACGATTTCTTAAATCATTCCGAAATATGTATTCACTGACGGGAATAATGACCTTGATAATCCACCTATCAGATTTTATCGCTGGAGTGGTAACATTCCGTCATGTGGAGACATTCCGGCCCTAATCCTCCGTTATACTGGCTGGACTGACTGCAACTGGCGCTGTGTTAAATGCCCTACCAGCTGTATTCCACCGAAATCACATTGGCCTGTACATAATCGAGTCTGGACCATTATAAACAAGGCATGGGCCTTGATATCAGAGTATAATGACACGTAATCAGCCTGGTAGGCGTTTTATCCGCCATCACGAGGGTACTGGAGTGAGTGAGTTGGGTTTAACGCCGCTTTTAACAGTATTCTACTTATATCACGGCGTGTGAGCTTAAGGTGGGAGGAAAGCCCGAAGTGATGCAGGTCTCAGACGTTTACCACTTCGGTGAAACTCAGAAGCAGGGGTATGGTGCTGACAAACCTAGAAACATAATCGGGGCGAACCGGGATTCGAACCCACTATCGTAGGTTTCTGGCGTGCCCAAGGGACGCAACTCTGCAAAGCGAATCGCGGCGCCTTAGACGACTGGGCCACCCGTGCCCCCAACCAGCGGTACTGGGGACCTCTTTGTGTTTACATGTATATATAATCAAGCGTGGATTGATTGAGATCCCATGTTAATACAGTTGTTGGTACACTAATGCTCAGTCTCTTAGAATATATAAGTTTTTCAGAAACAAGCAACTACATTTAAAATTGAAAAAGAGACCCAGTGATGTGTGTGAATTTCTGAACCTGAGGGAAATCTAGACTTGCTTCATTTAGGGGCATAGCATAACAGTAAGGTTTGGGCGGAAGGGAAAATAATATAGTTCGGGGACTGTGAGAAGGCTAAGTTGTTGAAAATGACCTGGTTTGATGGACTTAACGAGAACCAGTTGGAGGAACCAGTATGAGATGAAAGAATGATTTCCCATAACATATACCCTGTATTTAATGCTACCATAATTCCAACTGATCGGCATAAGAAACAGTTTGGGGTTATCTACCACTAAAATGTTAAAGAACATGGCATGCCAGGGCGCCAGCTTCAACCTGATATGAGGTACAGCAATGTACTGTTCAGAGTTGCGTGCCTTAGCCATGCCAGGATCCGGTGGTCTTGAGTTCGAATCCAAATTGACCAACTTGCGAATTTCGTCATGTCGGGTTTGCTTCCCACTAAGCTGAAATACAGAGATATCACTAAACTCTCTTCAAAGCCATCTCGAGGGGCGGTCGGGTAGCCTAGTGGTTAAAGAGTTCGTTCGTCACGCCGAAGACCCGGGTTCGATTCCCGACATGGGTAAAATGTGTGAAGCCCATTTCTGGTGTCCTCCGCCGTGATATTGCTGGAATATTGCTAAAAGCTGCGTGAAACCAAACTCACTCACACTCACTCAAAGACACCTCAAAGCCCAACCTCCATCGCAATGAAACCCATTCTGACATTGTTCAACGGATGTTTGATGTCCTCTGTGCTTTTAGTTTACAAATACCCGAAAGTACCTAACTGAAAATATGGTATCAACCAGTACCCCCACCCGGCAAATCATTACAATGACATGTATGTCATATTTCATATTGATGTCATTTTTATAAATACTAAACAAAAAAGTTAGGGATAATAAAAATTTTGGGGGATGTTATTTATGAAATTGTGTGCCCAGTTTGCACTGCCAAAATATCTTCCAAAACATATTCATGATCCCAAACTGTTTTGTACAGCATATAAAGATACGCTTTCGATACTGTCGGTGCCTGACATTTTCGGATCTGCTAAAAACATAAAGAGCATGTACAAGCTATGACTGACAATGTTTCCTTCCGTGAGTGCACCTGCGCACCATCTGG